TATATATTTTATTTACTTAGTTAAAAAACACCTTATTATATATACTATTTACTAATTTGTATGCTCATTTAATATAAATTAATATTAGGTTTTCTTTTTGATTTTGTATAATACTTATATTTTAGTTTATTGTTAATAGTTCCTGTTTGTTACTTGTTATTTTAGAATTTCTATATTTTACATCTATTATTATTTAAATTGGACTTGTTTGCATGTTTATCAATACATGTATTTGTTTTGTTTATTTATTCATATATTACTGTAATCTATAGATTTACATTTCCAGATTACAAAGAATTTATCAAATTTTATTTTTAAGCATTAACTAGAATGTTTTTCTTTTTTAATTCTTTTACTAAGTTATTTAATTTTTATATTTTTGTTCTTGTTATATCTTTTTTACAAGCTTAATCTTTTTTTTAGACCTGTAAAGTTAGTTTAGATAGTTATTTTTTAGTAAATTTCTAAATGTTTTTGCCAGTTTTGTATATAAATAATCAGCAGAGAGTGTTAATTTTTCTGTTCAAATATACTTATTAACTTTATCAAATTATACAATATTTATATTATTTTTTACAAAGTTACTGCTTACTAAGATACTCAGTACAATTATCTTACTAATCAAGTTGTATATAATTATTACAATTTGTCATATCTTAACTTTATATCTTATAATATATATAATCTGTATATATTTTAAATCTTAAAAACTTCTTCTTAAAACTATTTATTTGTTACAATATTTATATAATATGTTATACACATATTTATGCATTATGAATTACACAAAACTATAACACAAAATTCTTAATCAAATTTATTAGTAAGCAATTTAGCTATATATTAACAATAACCAAAAAATCTCAAACTTTTTATACAGCTTTCAGTTCTCTATTTTTAAGTCTTTTAGAATTAAAATCTTATTGGATTTTTTTTCTACTTTATATACTTTATATAAACAATATTATTTATATTATCCTATTTGTTATCAATATCATTAAATCTGTTTTTATCTTTACAGAACAATCTGTTTATTTAATTAATTATTATACAGATTTATAAATATTTTATTACAATACTTTTTTAATAAAATACTTGATGCAATATTAGTTATTTTATATAACCAAATTAAGTTATTAAGTAGTATGACTATTTACAGTATATCAGATATATTTTCAATTTTCTCAACTCTAATAGGTTTAATACAAAATGAACTTATTAATATTATTACAAACTTATTATCTAAAAAAAATAGTTACAACACTTATTATAAAGTTTTTATTTTATTTTAATTAACAAATTTATTACAAAATCTAAATTTTTTATTGTTTTTCAAGGTTATAACTTAATTTCCTAAATACAATTTATTATTAAATACTGTCTCACTTTTATCATATTTTTTTCTGTTTAATTCTATTAGTTCAAAAATAAAATTTTAATATATTTAATAAATTAAATATCAAATTAACCCTTTATAAATAATTACTAATATCCAAATTTAGATAAGTCTTGACTATTTCTGTTAGTTTAGATTGCAGATAAATTAGTCTAAGCTTTATTCTTTTTATAATATTTTAAAAATAAAATTATACTTTATATAAAATTTTAATTAAATATTTAATAAAAATAGAAACATGGTCTTATTGTTAATATTAAAAAAAAAAAAAAAACTTACAAACTGAACTAATAAAAGTATTATTAGAAATACTATTATAAGATAATATTAGATATATAAACAAAATAGTATGAGTACTAAAATTAAATCACAGTTTATTTTATTTTTTTTTGATATTAAGATGATCTTTTTAATTCTAGCTTTTTATTAATACTTAAATCAGATATATGTTTTATATAGTTGTATCTATATTGAACTATCAGACAAGTGTACAACTGGCTACATGTATAACTTTTCTATATTACCTATTTAAGAAGTCTGTCTGAAGATTTTCTATCAGTTGCTATACCTAACACCTTTACTTAAATGTTTTATTTAAATTTTTTGATCTAATCTTAGTATTAATTTTACTAAATTATAGTTTTAGATCTATTCACTTTTAGCTATAGTACTATAATCCTTAGATTATTTTTATTCTTGAGACAAACCTACCAGAGTAAAATATTTTTCCTTTTATTGCTAACTTAGTTTGACACTATAGCTAAAACCAATACTTGCAGTTAAAGTTATTTATTAAACTACTATTATCTTTGTAAAATTTATCTAAATTCTGGTACCTATCTTTTCAGACATCTTTTTTATTATTTCTTACTAACTGCCACTTAGAACTAATAGGGCTCCTTAGGCTACTAATTCTGATAGCCCAGTATGATATACTTATATATTTTTTTCTTCAGCAATTTTGGCAGTCTGATTGATGCATGTGCTTCTCTCATATACCTGTTATTCAGTTTATCTAATAATTTCTTTGAAGGTGTTTTATGGGCTTTTGATGGATCAACAGCATCTTTGAAAGTTTGTGCTATCTTTTTACTTAAGATTTCTAAGTAGGTTTTCATCTCCTCAGTTTCTTAGTTTTCTATACCTAGTGGTCTTATTATAGATTTGCACTAAAGCCTTATATAACACCAATTTTTCACATTTCTCTATATACATGTTATTATACTTTACATAAATGCTCTGAGCTTCCAAAATTAGGTAGATCCAAACCTAGTGTACCTAAAATTACAGATGTATAAACCCAACTGATTGGCAAGAGATAGTTATTATAATACAGATATAATTTTCAAAATTTATTATCTGTGAGAATTGAACCTTAGACCTGCCACTTAAGAGTTGACAACCTATTCACTTTATTAGGTTGCTACACTCCTTAAGTCACAGTTTATTAGTTTATCTAATATATAAAATTACTTAAAAAATATATAAAAAAATATTACTAATATGATGCAAAAAACAATCCAATATTCTAAACAAACTAAATATAACACAACTACAAAAAGCTAATAAAAATATAACAACAGTCTTAACAGCTATAGCTAATGCATATAACATACTGCTAACTAAATTAAAAACAGAAATTAGATTTGAAATATCAAAAAAAACTTTTTATAAACTATAACATGTTACCAAACTATATTAATACAATAGTAGGCTAAATAAAAACTTTAATCTTTTTTAGCAAATATAGGTTATAAATAAAATAGTTTAAGTTTTAGCTTTTAGAAATTAAATAATATATATTACAAATTAAAATATATTTAAATATTAATAATTAATATAGAAACTGAGACAAGACCTTATTTTTTTTAAAAAAAAATATTATAATAAAAAAAATTGTTAAAATATATATATAAATTATAAAAGACTAAAGATATTAAAATTATCTTGTAAGGTTGTTTTTTACAGAGTTAATTATTATATGCTTAGCTTTTACAGCTGTATAAGATACTATAATTAGTCCTATACATTGGGTCTAATTATTATTATTCTAATATTTAAATATATACAAAAAACAATATGTTAAAAATTTATAAAAATTTATTATTATTATATTGTTTTGAAATTAAAAAAGGTTCTAAATATATACTAGTCTAGAAAATTATTAAAATTACTAATTTAAATAATAATTTTGAAATTAGTAATTCAGATAATAATTTTAAAATTAAAGAATATTTTAAGAACACATTAGTTTCAGAACTTAATAAAATTGTTAATTCTAATAATAATTTAAATAAAGATTAATATTATATTTTACAAGAAAAAAAGAAGTAACAAGTTCAATTTGAAAATATTAAAATTAGTTAAATTTACTGTATTAATAAAAATAAATAAAAAAATAAATCAATTAATATATAAAAACTAAAAAATTAAATAAAAAAATATAAAAATTAAATAAATAAAAATATTAATAATTATATTTATTTTTTTTATAACTAAATTTGACTTATTCATTATTTGAAAAGCACAAAACAGTTTGACAATTATAATTTTAAGCATAAAGAAAAACTAGAAATATATAAAAATAGAATAAATGAAAAATACAAGGTTAAACATAATTGAAGATTTAATTCTTATGATTTTATAAAAATTTATATACTTGATATTGACAAAAATAAGATGAGTCAAAGATCTTTATCTTGCAAAGTACTTCAAAAAAAAACTTATATCAATTCTTATCAAGTTGCTTGCTAGTATAAAATCCTTGAACATTGATATTCAGCAAGTGAACTTGAGACATTTGAAACTTCTAATTATTTTTCTCTTAATGTAGTTCCTCTAAACAAAACTATTTCATTGAGACAAGCAAGTTTTTTTTATAAAACAATGAACTATTTTCAAGTCAAAATAATAACAATGATAATTTCTTTATTAAGTAATAATTTATTGTGCAATATATAATGCTAGCTAATAAATTAATTTTATTACCTATCTAAAATAATCAACCAAAGATTCTAAAAACAAGCATTCAAATTGTCATTGTCAAAAAACCAACTGTTCTTCTACTGCTTGTTCCTACTAAAAAAAAACTAATTATGTACACAACAATATGGGTGTGTTCTATATGATGAATGTAAAAATTGATAAGATTCTTTTTTGATTTGATTAATTTTTAGTTATGCAGATTTTTTTATATACTTTTATTGTGCTTTTTTTTTATCGATATGCAAATTTTTTTATTAATATTTATTAAGCATTTTATTTTCAATATAGCAGAAGTTTACTCAAATGTTACATTTTTTAAATTTATATGTAAAAATTATATGTAATTTTTTATGGCTATGCAAAGGAATTTACGATACAATTAATTAATATTTTATTATCAGTCATATAATTTTGTTTTCCCCGATTGAGAAATAGCGTAAGTCATTTCAAAATTTAAAAATGACTTAGGTCAATTTGGAATTGACCTAAATTGTGAAATGACGCAGAACATTAGTAAGTGCCTGATACTAGTTATATAATTTCGGAAAAAATTATGATATAGAAATATTTTTGAAATTATTAAATTATATAAATTATGTACATAAAAATTCTAAAAATTCTATCTAGTATTCGTTATGTTATCCACAGGTCCATAATGTCCATACCATTTTCCCTCTTTAAAACCCCAAGCTTCATAGAACCAGTTCTTGTAGGCAATCTGCGATGTTTGGTTCCATATCTGATCTTTCGTTTGATTCAACATTTGTTCTTTCTCAAGTGTAGACCAGCATCTTGTAGGAAGCTCCATTTTTGTAACCAAGCCTTCGGTTGTTGAATTCCGAATGACTCTAATCATTGGCAATCCCTTTTCGTATTCAGAGTACAAATCTTTAATGACATTCAATTTCTTGATATCCTTTATATGATGGACCAAGATAGTCTCGACAAAGAAATGGAGGTCCAGCTTCTCGTTAAAGTCATGGATGGGATTTTGACGGCTAGACACCCACTCAGTAAAGCCAACATAGTGCACGAAGTACTTCTTCTCCCTTGACAAATGACATACCCACTCACCCACTCGCCAGTCCTCATCACCTTTGACATTTGAACTAGCCCAGTGTGATCCAGCAATGTCTACAACAAGGTCGCGGGAGAGTGTGTATCCAGCGCCTTATTTCGAGTATAAGGAAAATAGATCAAAAAGTGTATGAAGCTTGACGATGAAGATAATAAAAAACACACCTCCCATATATGAGTATGTTCCTTGATAATGTCCTAGAGCATTGCCATAGTATACACGTTCTTTCGGTAAGTCTTGAAGTTCACGGTAGTAGTGAATAAGGTGGAGGAAAGTGTCATCATCCAATTTGAGCATATAATTATCATCTCTCTAAGCGTATTCAAAATAATGAATGCTTATTTGACGTGTACAGGCTCATAACAGGATAAGAATACTCACATGTTTAGCAAACCATTTGAAATATTCAAATGTCTTTCCATCGTTCATGTTCTCTGTGATATTCAAAATAACAATATCCCCATATATTTTAGACTCTTTCTCCAACTTATCTTTTTTGTTTTCATCCTTTGGCAATCCTAGGATAAACCTAATCGTCACGGGCGATTCTTTGACTCTGAGATACCGCGCCAGAGCGTCGTTATTGTGTGTATACAACTTACGCAAGCACTCCCTAGTCTCGATATTCTCATAATAGGTCAAAATCCCAATAAAGACCGTTATGTTCTGGTATACTCCCGGAGGGTGTTTGGTATATGTATCATCTGCGATATGCGATAGTGGGACTGTCGATTTTGAGTAGTATGAAAGAAAGTAAAATAAATAGAGGTTGAAGCCAAGGATAAAGTAAATGATACAGTACTTATTAATCCTGAGCATTTTAAAATCATAAGTCTCGAAAGTACGATACGTTTATATTAAATTTTAAGTTAGTATGTAGCGAGCATTTACACAATAATTCCGTGTTACATTAAAAATTCATTGTGCTTGTTTGTTTTTGCACAAAAAAGTGTTTTCACAAATTGTACATTATTAATTGTACGTACAAATCAAATTGCATTAATAACTTGCATTTAGAGAACAATAAGAAAAATTGCATTTATAGAACTTTAAGTATAGATTTGGGTCAGTGTTATTAGTTACAGTTAGAGAAGTATTGCATTTAGGAGAGTTGCATTCAGGAGAGTTGCATTTAGGAGAGTTGCATTCAGGAGAGTTGCATTTAGAGATGTCTGACTGATCACATGAAATATTTTTATAATGTAATTTAAAAAATTTTTAAGATTAAAAATTGTAATGAAGACGCGGGTTGATTGTATTTGATTTTTCATTGGTTAAACAAGTTTGTAAATCGTCGGGAATTTCAAATAAAAACAACCAAGCAAAAATTTATGATCCACCCTTATATTAAAACCTTTATGTTATACAGAACATCCTTATCGTTTTATGGCGATCGCATTTTTAACTTAATACCCTTATATGGCGATCTCAAGTTCGTGAAGCGTTGAACACTTTTAATTAATTTGTACTGCCAAACCAAGTACAACAGGCTTTAATTGTGCTACTATGATTGACTAATTTTGAAAATTATCGTTAAGAAAGTCTTATAATAAATTGCTACCATAAAAATGAATTCGCAGCCACGAACATGAATTCGTAGGCGTTATTGTTCAGAGTCATTTCACGATTTAGGTCGATTCCGAATTGACCTAGGTCATTCATAGATTTTCACCGACTCAGAAATGACCCAGGTTAATTTTTAATGAAACGCTACGAAATTTAAGGATCAGGGGTGACTAATTATTGGGTGACAAATACATAAATAAATTAGTTAGTACTTATTTGTCACGTAATTATTTGTCAGCCCACGGCGGTGCAACACTGACCAATCATTTATGTGACAAATAAGCACCAACTAATTTATTTATAGACAATGGTTATTTGTCACACCACATGTGTCATCACTTAAAAAAAAACAAAAATTAATAAATAAATAAAGTAGCTGCACGACGCAGTCGCGCTAGAAACCAGGAACGAAAGCAAATATAATAGTTAACAAAATAGTTTAAGTAACATACAGACTAGAACTTATTTACGGGTTAACTCAAACATTGCAACAAATGAATTTATGTTGGTATTTGCGAATTTGGTTCTAAAAGAAATAAAGATAACGGAACATGTGCGATATAACACATCTTACACTTGCGTCAAACAGGTCACATTTAGAAGACAATACAAGGATGGACAAGCGGAAATAAGGATATCGACGAGCGGATTAAGGAATTTCAACTTAAAGCTACATCTTATCATAGTGTAATCGAATGGATTCCTTTTAATAGTTTAGATAATATTCAAAATATTGGTGATAAAGTTTTAGCAACCGGTTAGATGGATTCGAAATTATGAATATAAAATTGAAAATGGTGAATATGAATATACACAGTCACGCATACTATCATATAAAATGGAATTTAAAATATTAAATAGAACACAAAGCTTATCAGATATGTTAAAAGAAGTAAGCTAAAATATTAATAATATATTTTTGTTACATTACATATATAGCTTTAATATATATTTGAATTTTAATAAGTTTTTAAGTTATATACAGTTAAAGAATAGTGATCTTAAAGTATATAGACTAACTCAAAACAATGCAAACAATGAATTTTATAATAAAAGAGATATAAATAATGGAACATGTACAAATTGCAAATGATATAATATATTTTACATTTGGTGACAAACATATGACCTTCAAAAGTCAATGAGTGCATTAATGAATTTCAATTTAAAGTTACAAAATGCATAGATGTAATTGAATAAAATTTTTTTAATAGTTTAGTTAATATTCAAAAATTAGTAAAGGAGGATTTGACACTATATTTTTCACAATGTGGTTAGATGGTAAAAGAACAATTTTATAAAATAGGATGACAAAAATATTTATACATCTAAAAACTTGGTTTATAACTTTAAAACTTACTAATTAATCTATGTTCTTGATAATTTTATGTTGATCTTTATTCTTTAATAATTATGTTATATTATTTTTAGATTATATTGATATGGATTATAGGGTTAAGAATAAACTATTGGAACAAGAAGGAATGCAACAGATTGTTGCTTTGGATTTGTTAATATTGTGTAATATTACTTAAAGCAGATAAAGCAGTTTCAATTTGGCACAGACCAAAGGTAGTCTTAAGAAGTCACAAGAGATATAGATTAATATTATATAAGTTAAAAAGCATAGGGTTTTTATTTATTTATTTATTATAACTTATAATAATTAATTAATTTTTAATTTATTTATTTTAGAGTAGATTTAAAGATGATTTAGTTTTTATTATAATGCAGAATGATTCTATAATAATTAATTATTATTTACAAGAGGGAATTCAACCTATTTTTATATAGAATTCTCAAAAGAAAAGAAGAGTATTTTGAACATAGTTTGGAGCACTTTTTCTTATTGTTATCAATTATTTTTTTTCTTATTTGCAAGTACTTTTCTCTTTTTTTTATAATTCATTTATCATTATTTTAAATTTTTTATAAAACTTTAGTTCTTTTTACAATAACACACTATTTAACATATAATGATACATGAATACAGTTACAGACTTTACCTATTAAAGTAATATTACCTTAACAAATGTACTTCAAATTAGGCAGGTGGCTTGTATTTAATGAGATTAATACAGTTATTTAATGAAAAACCTAAGTTGTTTTAGGTCATAGACATTATAGTATGACAGTTTTTATAGTGCATATTATAACTTTTCTATATTACTTATTTAAGGAGTCTATTCAACAATTTTCTACCAATTGCTATACCTAATATCTTTGCTTGGATGTTCTACTTTAAACCCTCTGAACCTGCAATCTATATTAACTTACTGAATCATTTTCAGATGCCCAGATCATTATCTCAACTTTAAGACTAATTTATTTTTAAGATAAACCTTCTAGAGTCTTCTGTACTCATTTTTATATCTAACCTAAGTATTACTATAGCAAATTAACACTTGTGTTCAGAGTTATATTATTTAATCACTGTGCTCTTATAGAGTTTATATAGACTCCAATATTTACTTCACAACATAATCTCAGTACTTTAATATATCTCTGTCTTTTTAACCAAACTTCTAATCTAAATAGTCTGTATAGAATTATAATTAGTTTATTAATATATTAGGTCAGTTTAGTATTTTTTTCTTTTGATTTATACTAGCAGCCTGGTTGTAGTACTTCTGAAACTTCTAACTTGAAGGTTCTTACCCATCTAGCTATTATAATCAAGTATTATAACCTTGGTATCCATTTTCCTAGATTAGCTTTTACAATAAGGCCATCAAAGATCTGACTACCTCTCTACTTGGGTTTTCTTAAATGGACTTCTAGTTATCCAATTTCAACAGATTTACATAGCTACAAGAACTAATCTAATATTTGCACTACTTGATTTATTAATTTGCATTTCTTTATATAACAACTTATACAGATGCTCTATAACCTGCCAGTCATGCTGATGTGATTGCTATTATAGATATTCTAATTCAATTATTAGTAACAGTTGTTGTAATACAAATATTACATAAGTAATTATTCAAATTTTTAGTATCAATATGATTTGAACATCCAATCTACTACTTGAAGGTTTAACAATCTAACTATTTTACTATGTCACTATATTTCTATTTTCTTATTAATTAATAATTAAAATTAAATAAAATTTATATTATTTTTAATTTTTTTTAAGGTGCCTTCTTTGATCTTTTAATTTTATTAATAATTTTTTTAGTAAAATAATTCTATGAACTACTACAAAAAGAGTGTACAATTGGCTACATATATAACTTTTATATTACTTATTTAAGAAGTTTATTTAAAAGTTTCTTATTAATTATAATATATAACACTTTTGCTTAAGTGTTTTATTTTAAATATTCTGAATTTGCAAACTGTATTAATATTATTAAGTTATGTCTAGATCATTCTCTTTATTTTAGAACTATTTTATTCTCAAAATAAACCTTTTAAAGTCTTTTATATCTATTTTTATAACTAATCTAATATTATTATAGCAGAACTAATACTTATAATCAGAATTAGCCATTAAACCATTATGTTCTTATAGTGTTTATTTAAATCTTAGTACTATTTTATAACATATTTAAATTACTTTAATATATTCTATATTGTTACCAAACTCACAATTTTAATAGTCTAGTAGAACTATAACTAATCTATATGTATATCAGATCAACTCAATATTTCTTTTCTCTAATCTATTCTAGTAATCTGATTAGTAGTACCTTTTATTTAAAGATTTTTATTTATCTATTTTTTTTATATTAATATCTATTTTCTAAAGCTAGTCTTTTAATAGTACTATTGAAGATTTATGTTACCTCTTTGCTTGGGTCTTTTTAAATAGATTTCTAGTTTTCTAATTTTAACAGATTTACATAATTATAAGAACTTATTTAGAGTTTACATCATCTGATACTAGTTTGCATTTTTTATATAACTAATTACATAGATGTTTTATAACCTGCCAGTCATGCTAATACAATTATTATTATAGGTATCTTAATCTAATCATTAAAACAGTTGCTATAATATAAATATTATATAAGTGATTTTTCAAATTTTTACTGTTAATAAGTTTTGAACACCCAATCTA